ACATACCATAACTTCAACACATAGGGATGAAATATACCTCAGCATCAACATGTCAAGACAAAACATACCATAACGTCAACACACAGGGATGAAATATACCTCAGCATCAATATGTCAAGACAAAACATACCATAACGTCAACACACAGTGATAACATATACCTCATCATCAACATGTAAAGACAAAACATACCATAACTTCAACACACAGGGATGAAATATACCTCAGCGCCAACATGTTAAGACAAAACATACCATAACTTCAACACATAGGGATGAAATCTACCTCAGCATCAACATGTCAAGACGAAACATACCATAACGTCAACACACGGGGATAACATATACCTCAGCGTCAACATGTCAAGTCAAAACATACCATAATGTCAACACACGGGGATAACATATACATCAGCATCAACATGTAAAGACAAAACATACCAAAACTTCAACACACAGGGATAACATATACCTCAGCATCAACATGTAAAGACACACAGGGATAACATATACCTCAGCACCAACATGTAAAGACAAAACATACCATAACGTCAACACCCGGGGATAACATATACCGCAGCGTCAACATGTCAAGACAAAACATACCATAAAGTAAACACACAGTGATAACATATTCCTCAGCATCAACATGTAAAGACGAAACATACCATAACGTCAACACACCGGGATAAAATATACCTACCAGGGACAAGATACAAGATACCAGGTACAAGATACCATGTACTAATACAAGATACCAGGTAATAATACAGGAACCAATACAAGATACAGGTACTAATACAGGATACAGGGACTAATACAAGATACAGGTAATAATACAAGATACAGGTACAAATACAAGATACAGGTATAGTTATACAAGATAACAGGTACTAATACAAGATACAGGGACTAATACAAGATACCAGGTAATAATACAAGATACAGGTACTAGTACAAGATACAGGTACTAATACATGATACCAGGTACTAATACAAGATATCAGGAACTAATACAAGATATCAGGTACTAATACAAGATATCAGGTACTAATACAAGATATCAGGAACTAATACAAGATACAGGTAATAATACAAGATACAGGTACAAATACAAGATACAGGTACTAATACAGGATACAGGGACTAATACAAGATACCAGGAACTAATACAAGATACAGGTACAAATACAAGATACAGGTATAGTTATACAAGATAACAGGTACTAATACAAGATACAGACCATAACGTCAACACACAATGATAACATATACCTCAGCACCAACATGTAAAGACAAAACCTACCATAACGTCAACACACACACAGGGATAAAATATACATCAGCATAAACATGTAAAGACAAAACATACCATAACGTCAACACACAGGGATAAAATATACCTACCAGGTACAAGATACAAGATACCAGGTACAAGATACAAGATACCAGGTACAAGATACCAGGTACTAATACAAGATACCAGGTACTAATACAAGATACCAGGCACTAATACAAGATACATGTACTAATACAAGATACCAGGTACTAATACAAGATACCAGGTACTAATACAAGATATCAGGTACTAATACAAGATACAGGTACTAATACAAGATACCAGATACTAATACAAGATACCAGGTACTAATACAAGATACCAGGTACTAATACAAGATACCAGGTAATAATACAGGTACTAATACAAGATACCAGGTACTAATACAAGATACAGGTACTAATACAAGATATCAGGTACTAATACAAGATACAGGTACTAATACCAGATACAGGTACTAATACAAGATACAGGTACTAATATAAGATACCAGGTACTAATACAAGATACAGGTACCAATACAAGATACCAGGTACTAATACAAGATACCAGGTAATAATACAGGTACTAATACAAGATCCCAGGTACTAATACAAGATACCAGGTACTAATAAAAGATACAGGTACTAATACAAGATACAGGTACTAATACAAGATCCCAGGTACTAATACAAGATACAGGTACTAATACCAGATACAGGTACTAATACAAGATACAGGTACTAATACAAGATCCCAGGTACTAATACAAGATACAGGTACTAATACAAGATACAGGTACAAATACAAGATACAGGTATAGTTATACAAGATAACAGGTACTAATACAAGATACAGGTATTAATACAAGATACCAGGTACTAATACAAAATACCAGGTAATAATACAGGTACTAATACAAGATCCCAGGTACTAATACAAGATACAGGTGTTAATACAAGATACAAGGTACTTATATAAGATAACAGGTACTAATACAAGATACAGGTACTAATACAAGATACAGGTACAAATACAAGATACAGGTATAGTTATACAAGATAACAGGTACTAATACAAGATACAGGTATTAATACAAGATACCAGGTACTAATACAAGATACAGGTACTACTACAAGATACAGGTACTAATACAAGATACCAGGTACTAATACAAGATACAGGTGTTAATACAAGATACCAGGTACTTATATAAGATAACAGGTACTAATACAAGATACAGGTACTAATACAAGATACCAGGTACGAATACAAGATACAGGAACTAATACAAGATACCAGGGACTAATACAAGATCCCACGTAATAATACAGGTACTAATACAAGATACCAGGTACTAATACAAGAGACCAGAAGATTTATTTAAAGTCGTACATGTAAACAATAAACATGAGCTCTGTAGAGCTATTTTTACCACAAACAAAAAATGAGTAAAATGCATAGAAAATTACAAACAAAAACGAAATATCACAGCATTCATATTAAATAAAAATAAAAACGGCTTAAGGGACTAAACAATACAAGTCAGAGTACTACGTGTTAGCAAGCAAACAAAAATACATACATACATACATATCATAGCATGCACAAAACATATAGAGCACTAAAAAAACAATAAAAAATAATGTAAGAGTGATATGGCATACACATGAGATCTTTTTCAAAATGTATGGATGCCTAATATACATATATATGCCAATACGGCAAAAAAAATACAAAAAAAATACCAGAATATATGCTAATATATCCTGTGTTAAAAGAAAACACTATCATTTACCAAATTAAGAGAAAAAGCTAAACATAAATTGAAATAAAAACCATAAAATTAAGCTAGACATTTACTCCACACATATAGCACAACTACATAACTGGCCATTCAAGGTAGCAACAGCCTGCACAAGGTATTATAGTTCTCAGCACACCTTAGTTCATTAGACAGACTGTTCCATAGATGACATCTTTCCACACCTTGTGGTTCTAGCCCTTGGTACAGTAATGGTATTTTTTTCCTGAAATAATGTACTCTCCAAAAACATCTGGTGCTATCTTATTTAAAATCTTATACAGTTCTTTAGCCATAGTCTTTAGCCTGCCTATATGTAAAACGTCAAGATTGTTTTGTTTTAAAAGATCTCTAAATGTAGATGCACATGTGTAATTATTTTCAATATTTAAGCGAATAGCTCTTTCCTGTATTATCTCCATCGTCCTGGTCATCAGTGGTTTTCAGTGGTTTGCTGACGATCATAAATCTTAAAAGAACTTCGNGGAAATAATCATAATAGGCCATATCTTCCATTGTTTTGAACGGAAGTTGTTCATATTTGACAGAAATACTTGTTAGGGGGAGGGGGTCTGCAGGTAAAAAAATATATGAGTCTGACCCCCTAGAGGGCTGAGTTAGGGGCAGAAAAGGGGGGGGGGGTCAAAAATCTTCTTTTGTAGTTCCAGAAATGCTAGAATCAAATACTACTCATAGTTGTAAAGGCCTTATAGTGGTTTATATACTTTGTGATTTTCATGTGTCCCAGGTCCCTCGTTTGCCTTTGGGGAGGGGGTAAAGTTTGGTATTGTTTATATAGACAATTCGACAAATGAACGGCCATCACATACTTTTTATCTCCAACCCAACTAATGTANTTGACAGAAATACTTGTTAGGGGGAGGGGGTCTGCAGGTAAAAAAATATATGAGTCTGACCCCCTAGAGGGCTGAGTTAGGGGCAGAAAAGGGGGGGGGGGTCAAAAATCTTCTTTTGTAGTTCCAGAAATGCTAGAATCAAATACTACTCATAGTTGTAAAGGCCTTATAGTGGTTTATATACTTTGTGATTTTCATGTGTCCCAGGTCCCTCGTTTGCCTTTGGGGAGGGGGTAAAGTTTGGTATTGTTTATATAGACAATTCGACAAATGAACGGCCATCACATACTTTTTATCTCCAACCCAACTAATGTACTAGTAATAGTAACAACCTTAATTCTTTATGAATTATAAAGTCTCATAGTAACGATTCCAAGTTCTTACCCTAAATGTCTGAAGTGGTTACAAATTGGAATTACAGAGCAAATGTAAATATTGTGCCATGATTGCTTAAATAACCAGGTGAGCGATACAGGCCCCCTGGGCCTCTTGCTATTTAAGTAATCTTGTTAACGTTTACTTGAATTATATTGCTTTCTATTAGCCCGCGGTATCATACAACTGTACTACCACCAGAGACAACATATAGCCATTACTGTGTATGTAGTAAAATAGTACCCTAAAACTGACATTATGCCATGTACATGTTCCATAACGCTAAACAGCGATAATCCTAGAGGGACCATGGGGCCATTGACCCATCAACACTGAAATTGACCCCTTCGTGTTCCAATTTTATTTTTATTTAACATAGAATGGCCCCTCTTAATTTTGATATCGACTAAAAAATGCTGAAATGGCCCACTGCTCTTAAATTCCAGGATTTTCCCTGTAAACACCGTTCTGCAATATCTTATTATTACTTTTGAAGCTATATTTGAAAATTATCTAATCAAGATAAATAACGTTCCATGCGTCAATTCCATAAATGTCCATGAATTCAGGAATATTTGTACCCGTATCGTGACCTGTTAACTAGATAATACCAAATATGGTCTGAAGGTTTTACTGACATGCGTCAAGCCTACTTCCGATTACTCACTTCCGTGTTTAACCGGTGAGGAACTACCATCATTGCAGAATGTCGATTGTAAAGAATCACGTTGGTAAGTTTAGCTAACGGACACATATTTTACACATGCTATACTATATCGAAATAATATAACACAGGAGACACAAATCGGAGTTCGCCACTGTCTCGTGCACTAAGGCTATCACGACAAATAAGTTTTCAGGAAGTGAGTCCCGGCCAGAAAACTTCCTGAACTTGTGTTTATACTTTCTTTCGAAGACGAAAATAAAAGTTATGTCTATGTTATATCGCTGTTGTATAGCTTCACAATGTATCCATGAAGTTTATAACAGTTATCACGCACAGCTCAAATTGATTGAATATTAATCTGTTGACTTTTTTTTACTTTCTTTACTACATGAAGCATATCTGACATTTCGATAGAGACCCGCCCACACCCGCATTATGTAGCAAGATGAATGATAAAGCATCAGGTCATTCAGTACTGTTATATTTAGATATTTGTACAGAGTTGAGTTACGCTTCAGTGATTTTTGAGACTCGTAAATTTGAGTACTGGGCCCGTATTCATGAAACCGTTCTCATGCTCAAGCATGGATTCTATCAACATAATGATACAATCTTCTTTTAAAAGCGACTTTGTTTCATTTTCCTTAAAAAAGAAAATCACTTGAAAATAGCTCAAAAGACCTATTTCAGATAGGTCAATATATTGAGTTATTACAGAGGTCTTTACAGCTATATAGCTCAATCGGCAGAGTGTACTGGACCTGACCTATATCATGTCAATGATCAAAAAGTCAAATATAAATATTGAAAACAGTATTTGGCTTCAAGTTTTGTCCAAAACTGTAACAAAATAAGATTTTTTACATAATTTATAACTGGAACAAGAAATTAGACTTGAGCACAAAATCCATGCTTGAGCATGAGAACGGTTTCATGAATACAGGCCCTGCTGGCTCAGTGACTCAGTGAGTTTCCTTACTAATAGATATAGTGGGTTCTCAGAAAGTTGGTGAGTTCCACAGGGAAAACATGAGCCCTGGTCTCGAATATCCAAGTCCCAATATTAACTGGTGTCACGGTTGAGGAGATAACTGGAGTCTTAGATGTGTTTATTTATTCATTTCAGCGGACGGGATCTTCGCAACCTTACCTCGTACTTCGAGAGGAGTACCTATTGTCCTTGGAGGATGCCCAGCTGGCAAGCACAAGTTTCTCTACACAAATGGCAATAACGTCATAATGCGTGACCTTGCTGTAAGTCAAGTTTGAGACGTAACTTTCATTCAAACCTTGAAAAATAAATTTTATACTGATGATTTATTTGGACCAATGATGTTTACTTTTAACATATTTTTTTCCTCAATTGTTGTTTTGCAGTATTTGTTCATAGTTAATTACTGACACTCTATAGACCCATGTATATTGGCGTAAGATATGTAGAAGGGTCCGGCTCATTTTCTATACAGACCCTTGGTAAGCAAACTATGTGTAGAGGGACGGTAACAGACTGTAATTATAAACCCTACTAAAACTCATTAAGATGTTGATGTCAGAGGAATATATCCAATCAACATATATCAAAGTGTGATAAGGTGTGATGAAAGTCAGACAAGGAATTGATGTCTTGTTACAGAATCCATATATGGATGCAGAAATCATCACTAAACACACCACTCAAGCCACTGTAGCTCAGTGGTCTCCATCAGGATTCTACATCGCCTCCGCTGGTAAGTAGTGTGTCACACTCAGGGTACGTAGATATATTTTACTGGTAAACACAACGTAAGTAGATATTGAGTAATTTTACTGGTATACACAACGTAAGTAGCTATTGAGTAATTTTACTGATATACACAACGTATGAAGATTTTGAGTAATTTTACTGGTATACACAACGAAAGAAGGAATTGAGTAATTTTACTGGTATACACAACGTAAGTAGGAATTGAGTAATTTTACTGATATACACAACGTATGAAGATTTTGAGTAATTTTACTGGTATACACAACGTAAGTAGGAATTGAGTAATTTTACTGATATACACAACGTATGAAGATTTTGAGTAATTTTACTGGTATACACAACGTAAGTAGGAATTGAGTAATTTTACTGGTATACACAACGTAAGTAGCTATTGAGTAATTTTACTGATATACACAACGTAAGTAGATATTGAGTAATTTTACTGATATACACAACGTATGAAGATTTTGAGTAATTTTACTGGTATACACAACGTAAGTAGGAATTGAGTAATTTTACTGATATACACAACGTATCTAGATTTTGAGTAATTTTACTGGTATACACAACGTAAGTAGGAATTGAGTAATTTTACTGATATACACAACGTAAGGAGGTATTGAGTAATTTTACTGATATACACAACGTATCTAGATTTTGAGTAATTTTACTGGTATACACAACGTAAGTAGGAATTGAGTAATTTTACTGATATACACAACGTAAGAAGGTATTGAGTAATTTTACTGATATACACAACGGATGTAGATTTTGAGTAATTTTACTGGTATACACAACGTAAGTAGGAATTGAGTAATTTTACTGATATACACAACGGATGTAGATTTTGAGTAATTTTACTGGTATACGCAACGTAAGTAGGTATTGAGTAATTTTACTGGCATACACAACATAAGAAGATTTTGAGTAATTTTACTGGTACACACACCGTAAGTAGGTATTGAGTAATTTTACTGATGTACACAACGTAAGTAGGTATTGAGTAATTTTACTGGTATACACAACATAAGAAGATTTTGAGTAATTTTACTGGTACACACAACGTAAGTAGGTATTGAGTAATTTTACTGATATACACAACGTATGTAGATTTTGAGTAATTTTACTGGTATACACAACGTAAGTAGATATTGAAAGTAGATATTGAGTAATTTTACTGGTATACATAACATTAGTAGATATTGAAGAATTTTACTGGTATACACAACGTAAGGAGATATTGAGTAGTTTTACTGGTACACACAACGTAAGTAGATAATGAGTAATTTTACTGATATACACAACATAAGGAGATATTGAATAGTTTTACTGGTAAACACAACGTAAGTAGATATTGAAAGTAGATATTGAGTAATTTTACTGGTATACATAACATTAGTAGATATTGAAGAATTTTACTGGTATACACAACGTAAGTAGGTATTGAGTAAATTTACTGGTATACACAACGAAAGTAGATACTTTACTGATATACACAACGTAAGTAGGTATTGAGCAATTTTACTGGTATACACAACGTAAGTAGGGATTGAGTAATTTTACTGGTATACACAACGAAAGTCGATATTGAGTAGTTTTACTGGTACACACAACGTAAGTAGATATTGAGTAATTTTACTGGTACACACAACGTAAGTAGGTATTGAGTAATTTTACTGATATACACAACGTATGTAGATTTTGAGTAATTTTACTGGTATACACAACGTAAGTAGGTATTGAGTAATTTTACTGGTATACACAACGAAAGTAGATATTGAGTAGTTTTACTGGTACACACAACGTAAGTAGATATTGAGCAGTTTTACTGGTATACACAACTTAAGTAGATATTGAAAGTAGATATTGAGTAATTTTACTGATATACACAACATAAGTAGATATTGAATAGTTTTACTGGTATACACAACGTAAGTAGGTATTGAGTAATTTTACTGGTACACACAACGTAAGTAGATATCTAGTAATTTTACTGGTACAACGTAAGTATATATTGAGTAATTTTACTGGAATACACAACGTAAGTAGGTAGTGAGTAATTTTACTGGTATACATAACATTAGTAGATATTGAAGAATTTTACTGGTATACACAACGTAATTAGATATCTAGTAATTTTACTGGTACAACGTAAGTAGATATTGAATAGTTTTTCTGGTATACACAACGTAAGACGGTATTGAGTAATTTTACTGGAATACACAACGTAAGTAGGTAGTGAGTAATTTTACTGGTATACACAACGAAAGTAGATATTGAGTAATTTTACTGGTATCCCCAACGTAAGTAGGTATTGATTAATTTTACTGGTATACACAACGTAAGTAGGTAGTGAGTAATTTTACTGGTATCCCCAACGTAAGTAGGTATTGAGTAAATTTACTGGTATACACAACGTAAGGAGGGATTGAGAAGTTTTACTGGTATACACAATGTAAGTAGGTATTGAGTAAATTTACTGGTATACACAACGAAAGTAGATACTTTACTGATATACACAACGTAAGTAGGAATTGAGTAATTTTACTGGTACACACAACGTAAGTAGATATCTAGTAATTTTACTGGTACAACGTAAGTATATATTGAGTAATTTTACTGGAATACACAACGTAAGTAGGTATTGATTAATTTTACTGGTATACACGACGTAAGTAGGTATTGAGTAAATTTACTGGTATACACAACGAAAGTAGATATTTTACTGATATACACAACATAAGTAGGTATTGAATAGTTTTACTGGTACACACAACGTAAGTAGATATCTAGTAATTTTACTGGTACAACGTAAGTATATATTGAGTAATTTTACTGGTATACACAATGTAAGTAGGTATTGAGTAAATTTACTGGTATACACAACGTAAGTAGGTAGTGAGTAATTTTACTGGTATACATAACGTAAGTAGGTATTGAGTAGTTTTACTGGTATACACAACGTAAGTATTGAATAATTGGAAATGTGGAATGAGGTAGGTTTCAGAGGTTTACAACTAATAGATGCACTGTCTTTTTCAAAAATTCAACATATATCATTATTAAGTAAGTCTTTGTTTTAATGCATAAACTTATGGGAAATCCAGTAATTTTAGACCCTAAACATGCTGATGTGTTTCTGTGTGCAGATACATCTGGAAAAGTAATTATCTGGGACACCACCCAAAAGGAACACATCAACAAGTGTGAATATCAACCGATCTCTGGCATCATTAAGGACATCGCCTGGGACGGAGAGAGCAAGAGGATGGCTGTGGGAGGACAGGGCAAGGAGAAGTACGTAGCTATATAGGTCAGAGGGCACATCACAAACTTAGCATAGTCACAAATGTCACTTTTCATCTCGTTTGTTTTTGAACTTGATAGATTAAATCTACACATTATATTTGTTTGAAATCTGTATTGGTCTGTAGCTTTCCTAGACTATAATGAACCGTAAGATTTTAGTGGCACGTCTTCTGATTAATTTATCAATGGTAAGGAATGACTGAGTGATTTANAATGACTGAGTGATTTATCAATGGTTAGGAATGACTGAGTGATTTATCAATGGTTAGGAATGACTGATTGATTTATCAATGGTAAGTAATGAATGAGTGATTTATCAACAGTTAGGAATGACTGAGTGATTTATCAACAGTTAGGAATGACTTAG